CCCTTTCTCCTCCATTCTCCTCCCGGGATCTTGGGCACACATGCACACGCACCCAGCGTAAGTTTAAGCCACTGAGTCTGGGACTTCAACCATGGTTGACTACATGGGAGTCCAGCGACATAGCCATTACACTAACTGCTGGTCCCCCAATTCTAACATTTTTAGGTTAATTTGTTTACTTGTTTCATGAGAAAAATAGAGTTAAAAAGAGTCAGAAGAAGAGAGGAACAGAAGGAGACAGGCATCCCCAGCAGGGTCCTCAGCCAGGATTATGGGTGTTCACACAACATGCCTGGTGTGTTTAGGGAGACCTCTGGATAAGACCCAGGACCTTCCGTGTGGGTCCAGCCTCACAGAGCATTGTATTATCACTGCAAATTCTGCTGACCCACCAACCTTTTTAAAGGACTTTTAAATGTGATGAAAGTTTAAGAAGTTAAAAGAAGGACTGTCCAGTGCTGTCCAGGTTCATGATATGCATCATCAGGGTTCCTCCTGTATTGTGCTGTCACCTTTTGTATCACCATCTACTCCTTAGGGAGGTCTTGAGAGATCTGGAAGTCAAGTGCAAATACAGATGTCTGCAGAGGAGGAGCCTGAGAAGCCAAGGCCTGAGTCTCATGGCTTCTTGGAACACAGGGTTGTCATGCCTTGACTTGTTTCTGTCAGCAGTAAGAAACAGCCCTCCATGGGACAAGTCCTTCAGGTGCACTCTGCATGAGAAAATCGTCTTAACTGTAATTAGAGCCAACACCCACTGCATGTGCACCACCAACCGCCATGCAAGCCCTTCATGTGGACCATCCCCTCAGTCCTCATGAAAACTCTGTAAAGAAGGTATTATTGGGTCAGTGAGCGGCATAGTGGTTATGGTGTTTGGATCCCACATGGTTGACTGCATGGTTTAAATCCTGGACCTGGTGACTTTCCACATGTGTGTGCGGGCATGCCCAAAATCCCGAGAGGAGAAATGGAAGTGATTGCAGTATGGCCATTCCCCTCCTCCTCATCCCACGAGGTACTTTCTTCCTTTCTCTCTCTCTCTCTCTCTCTCTCTCTCTCTCTAGCAAGTTCATGTACCCTGTAGCAAATTAAGAAGAGAAAAAAAAAAAAAGAAAGAAAAAGAGAGAGAGAGAGCAAGTGGCGGGTGGGCAGGCAGGGAGGGAGGAGGGAAGGGGAAGGAGGAAAAGAAAGAAGAAAATGCTACTATTATTACCAGCCCCGTTTTACCATGGAGAAAACTAGGCACGAAGATGGGGAGTGACCTACCCAAGGTCTCCCAGATAAAGAGCAGAGGTGTCGAGGTCTGCAGCCAGTCAGCCTTTCCAGTCCCACACTCCACTGTGGTAGTAGAGGCAAGCTAAACCAACACCCAAAATGGTACGTTAAAAAAATCCCATTATTTATAAAATACGCACTATCCCCCTCCAAACTTTGCAATAAGAAATGAACATATTGTGTCAGTGCTACTTTATTTTTATACAACTAAATATTCCAGTGAACATAAAACAAGAGAAGAATTTTTAAATATTGTTCACAGAAAGAAATTTGACATTTGCTCAAAATAATCAGTGGATGGCCGCATCAGATCCAGCTTCCTGTCACCATTAAATTCTAGAAAAGAAAAGAATAGTGTACCGTTCAGGTCAAGTCATTCTCAGAATCAAGACAAGGCCCCTGGGCATGTTATTATAAAACGTATTTTACAATTATAGCTTGATTGGACATGTCATAAGTGCCCAGATTGCTTTTCCCATCATCAGTGCCTGTGAGATTTGATTTTACGGTGTCTAGTTAGGCCATTGGGCTTGCGGATGCGCTATGGCCTCGGGGAGCATCGTCCCCTGTTTTTGCTAGTGGCTCTGCCTCCCAGCTGTAGGACGGCTTTCTCAGGTACCCTGGATTTCTGGGGTCCTGACTGCTGCCAGCAGGTCAGGGAGGCTACAATGCACTCACAGGACGGTGGTCTCATGTCCCTGGGACCACTTGATCTTGAGATAGAGAAGAGACCCAGAGCTGCCCTGTGCACGGCTGTGCAAGACTTCCTCCTGCACTGACCCAAAGACCAAGGAATCTCCCCAGATTTAAGCTCTGGGCCTCAGCACCACGGAATAGAGGAATAGCCTTGCTTGGCTGCACACAGAAATGTTCCCACTAGAGAGCCTGGAAGCCTCCAGGGGCTCCCTGCGGCACCCCTGCCCTCCCTCACAGGCCTGCCTCAGGGCGGCTGGGTCAGAAGTCACGCACACCCAGCTGGGCTGTGTGCAGGCCATCACAGCTACAGCCCCACAGAACCAAGCCTGGAAGAAAAGGCCAGAATGTTCCCTGGAGCAGCCTGCCTCGTCAGGAGGGGGTGGGAGTCTCAGGTGGTCCCCCTTCCTTTGAATAAAACACCCCACCTCGCAGTCGGACATATGACATTTGCTTGAGAGAGAAGAGCTGCAGTGGAGGCTGACCTTGGCCTCTTTAGTGGGCCTTGTCTTTGATATTTCTTCCATTTCTTGGCTGGAGAAAAAAAAAAGAGAGAGCGTGAGAGCGAGCGACTTACAGATGCAGAGACAGCTGCCTGCAGCCCATGTCTCGGTTCCCTCAGATGCTCTGCTAAGCTCTGCACCTTGTTCTTCGTAGAGTTTCACGCCTCTCCTTAAGGTCTCACTCGGTAAGTCCTCCCCCATGCTAGCTAGTCCACAGTGCTCTGGGACAGTGCTCCAGGACCACTCCCTGACCTCCGCCACACCACTCCACACCCTAGCTTTGCCCGATGTGATGGGAGGATCTGCACGCTCTCATGGCAGGACTTAACCTGGAGACATCACAAATGTCTTCTGTTTCCATTCATAGGTGATGCAGACCACGTGGGGTGAAAGTAGGGAGGTTTGTGGGTCCGCATGGTCAAGTAAGTTAGGGAAACAAATGATTAAGCCAAAACAGGCTGTTTCCCGCAGGACTTGGAGCCCGCGGCAGGCCAGTGTGCATTGCGTCTTCATGAAGGTGGGTGCCGTGTTTTCTAACCTTCTCTGATTTTTGCAGAGTGCCTCTTAGCACCAGTGAGCCACAATTTGGGGGGCTCAGTCCCAGTCCAATTCACCCCCTGTTCTGATGCAAACACTGAGCAGGTAGTGGGTGAAGCCTAGCGCGTAGGTGGGGAATGAAAAATGAAAAGATAACTCTTGTGACATCGTGACATTGACAAGAACCTCTGTGTCACGGAGGAGAAGATGGTGCCTCGACTTCTTTTGCCAGTGGTTTGTGGAGGCCACATATCCTGGGCCCAGATGCTCAGGAACATGGGCTCAGCCCTGGCTTGTCCCTGTGTTTGTCATCACAGGACTCCCTGCTCCACACCTCCAGGTCTCTGGGGCTCTTAGCCTATGCCCTGTCGGGCCTTCTCCTTTACCAAGTTCATAGGAGATTTTCAACTCAGTCATACTTCAAGTAAGGGGGAGAGAGTCTGCAGTCTGTCCCTAGTTTGCCATGGGCCCTACTGCACTCACTCGGCAGTGACGCCATTAGAGGGATGGCAATGTGAATAGGGGCTTGAAAACAGAGATAAGGGAATGTGTTATACCCTGAAAAGGAAAAATGGTCGACCCAAGACAGCAGCACGATCCTGCAACATAAAAACATAAACTGTTAGGCAACCCTGTTGCATCACAGGTCCTTCAAGAATGTCTACGAGGATGTTTTTCAAATCGGATGGTCCTGAACCAGCAGCGTCAACACCTGGGTACATGTTAGAAATGCAAACTCTCAGCCCAGTCTAGTGCTGGATCTAGCAAGTGCTGGATCTCTGGGGTGGGGCCCACAGTCTGGATTTTAACCAGGTGAGTCTAATGCATGGTCAGGTTTAGGAACCCCTGGTGCATGGGACTCATGCCATTTGCTATACCTCTCCCCAAGTGTGCAATGCAGAGCCCCTGAGCCAGAGAAAGAGTCTCCAGGGCATTCGGCCCCAGGTGACTCATTTGTGAGGCTGGAGATGAAATATTAGAAGCCAGAGGCAGTGCCCCATGGTTTCTCTCTGCCACCCGGAAATCCAACTTTAAATGTGAAAAGACTGTCAAGGTCAAGTTATGAGACCAGTTCTTCCTAGAAGCAGGCTGCATGGTGGTCTGGCTCCAAGTACCTCCCTGCCCTTCTCTCTAGAGCTCTCAGGGGAGCAGCACTCACATACCTTCTTAGTAAAGCCATTCGGCCCCAGGTGACTCATTTGTGAGGCTGGAGATGAAATATTAGAAGCCAGAGGCAGTGCCCCATGGTTTCTCTCTGCCACCCGGAAATCCAACTTTAAATGTGAAAAGACTGTCAAGGTCAAGTTATGAGACCAGTTCTTCCTAGAAGCAGGCTGCATGGTGGTCTGGCTCCAAGTACCTCCCTGCCCTTCTCTCTAGAGCTCTCAGGGGAGCAGCACTCACATACCTTCTTAGTAACCCCCCCACCAGCCGCTCCTTCTTCCTGGGAGGGAACAAAGCACAGGTTAATCCCAGCACAAACCACATCCTGGCCCTCACAGCTGTCCTGCTAGGCTCCCCCGTGCCTCCTGCCGTTCTCAGGTAGTCAGGGTAAAGGAACAAAAATGGACAAACAGTTGTTCCTGTGCAATATCTAATATGCGGCCTTCCCCACCAGAAAGTCCTGGACAAACCAGTATGATTTGGCTCAGGGAGCCAAAAAGAAATTTTCTAATGTTTTTGCTATCAAGAAACAAAGCCTTCACTGACATCTCAAACGTGTTCCGCTATTACTGAAACTGGTCATTTATAAACTATAAAAACAAAACAAAACTGTAAAAAGCCTAAAGCTCTGAGACACGGGCAAAGGACAGTTAGAAGCAGAAGATAAATATCACCAAGGCAAATTTCGTATCAGGAAGAAGGGACAGCGGAAGTGAGAAAAACAACACAAAACTTACGGATGCAAAGAACAAAGTAGAAGAGAGAAACAACCATGTTGGGCCAGCGGTTCCCTCCTCAGCCCTCGTGTGACCACAGGGGTGACAGCAAAGGAGACCATGGCACAGGGAGCTCCAGGGACTTGTGCAAGACCCAAGGACCAGAGTTCTGCCCCAGCTCCCCCCCAGGGTGGAGGTTGAGATTCCAGGAGGAAACGGTAGGGAGCCAGCCCGTGGGCAGTGGCGCACCCTCCCCAGGGTTTGGTGAACTCTGAGTGGCGCCGAAGTATGGTGGAAGAACAAAAGCACATACTTGCTGCAGAAACCTCTTCGTCCTTCTGCTGGAGAGCTTCGCGGCCAGGTGCACTAGAGGGTGCACGGGAGGAAACTGCGAAGGAGAGGCGCTGTGAGGCAGGGAGACGCTGACAGGGTCAGGCCGACCCCAGGGTACCAATGCCAGGGGGACGTTCTGAGAGCCCAGGGCTGTGCACATTCCTTTTGACTCACTTCATTTACAAATGGGTTTAATTTTCAGAGTAGAATCCCTTCCCCAGCCTAAGCCTGAAATTTTATGTTTTCAATAAAGAACTACTTCCCGTGATAGCAGGCTTCCGTTCCATCGCATCACTTGAACCGTTTCCTCAGGGCCGGGCAGACTTCTGTCTGGGTTAACCCCAAGCTCTCTGTCCTCCTAGAGGAGAGCGTGGTCCTGAGAAGCAGCTCCCACAGACCCCCCCGCCCTGGCTCTGCAGGGCCTCCTGGCCTCCGGAGTCTTCCCACGCAGCTCTCTTTTCCTGCCTGGGCTTCTTGTCTGCGATTTCCCAGACACACTCAGGGAATTCTCCTGTGCCTCTTCTAGTCCCCGAGACTTTTTCTCTCCTGGGACACTGCTGTCGAGTACACTAGTTCATGTCACAGGGTCCCTGACCATTGCTCTTTCTCCTTTCCTGGTGCCCGGGGCCTTGTGTGATAACAACCCATCCCTGCCTGATCCCTGTCCATAGGGCTTCATCGCCAAGGAGTCTGCCTCTTAAAGGGAAGCATATTTTGCTGGGTACTGGGTATTTGCGCACGTGTGTGTGTGTGTTGTGTGTGTGTGTATACAGGTGGTGTTGCTTTTTGGGGGAACATAGTTGTGATCCTCCTGCCCTGAGTTTCTGAGGAGCTGGGACTGCAGAATGCACCACTGTGCCTGGCTTTTTAGGGTGGGCCTGAAATCAGCCAGGAATCCATATGGCCTCATGTGCTTGGGCCTATTTTTTTTTTAATAGTTTTTCATTTTTATGTATTAACTTCCTGAGGAAGAGAGAAAGGCACCCTCAACAGGGTCTTCATGTGGCAGCCCTACCACCAGCCAGGTGCCCCCACGGTAACCTGCCATGTTCAGGAACCCAGAGCCTTCCCTCAGGGCTTCCAGGGGCTGCACCCCTATTGCTGCTCTCTGTACCAATGTAGCTAGCCCTGCATTTGCTCTTCTAAGGAAACCTTAACTATATAAATAAGTGACTTTCTAATGGCATCATTTCAGTTGCCTTGACCAGGCACCAGAATGAATGAATTTATAGCCTATGACCTTTCCAGTATTCTTCGAATCATACCTCACAGAAATTCACCTACACAAGCTGATCCTGAGGGTAACTCAAAGTTATCATCAGAAAGTTAGAGGCGGGGCCCCTTTTCCCTCTGAACTGCCCACCATTTCAGCTTTAGAAGTTGCACATCCATGGATCTCTACCAGGGAGACAGTCCTTTACACACCACAAAGCACTTTTCAGAAACTGAGAAACAGATGATAAGGATCAATGTAAACAAAGCAGAGTATTTGCTGGGTGTTCCCCATGCATCTGCTTAAGTGCATAATAAAAGTTACTTCTTATTTATTTATTGGGATCTGTCAGCTCCCCACTACGCTTACTCCAGAGAGGGCGAGAGACAATCCCCACAGCCCTGAGCACAGCACCTAGGGAACTGTCACCCCAGGGTGCTGGAGGCCCTGCTCGTGCACGCTCTTTCACAGGGAGGGATGGCAAGCATGCACCGGGAAGGCACTTCAACAGAAAGGTGATGACGATAAAATACTGACCACACTTTTCATTGGATGTGTTGGCTCCTGAGCTCGGGAGTAGTGAAATAAAAACTAAATAAGAAATAAAAGTGCCATTAGTACTGAAGGCCACTTGCTCTGACATAGAGCTGCATGTCCTCTTCACGGGGCTGGGCGGTACTCACCCTCTTGTATATGTCTTGATTATCCTAGAAAGAGAATTGCGAGGGTGAGCTGCGTGGAGTTTGACTGGGGCAATGTAAGGTTCACCATGGGTCTTACCACGTTTACCCAAATATTATGGACTAATAGCCAACCTAAAGAGAAATTCCTTCATTATATAAATTTAATAAGACCATAGTTGATGCAGGATCTTTTGATTAAAGGGTGTTGCCAGCAATACACCATCATTTTGAAACAAAATCATTTCATTTCACTCTGTGGTGAATAAAAACCTCTCAGATGCACAGAAGCAATACACTAATCATTTTCCAGATAACCATCTGACTAAGAGGTGGAATTAAATAATTATTGCACTCTTTAATTAGCTGTTGGATATGTCCTAGTCTTCTGATTTTTAGGGCTGATTCAGACTGAACAAGCTTTTTGTTTGTTTCCCAAAGCTTTCTGTGTGAAGTTTCACTCTTCTTGCAGAAAGCTCAGTTTTTTCCCTAAGTCCTTGTTCTTGCCCAACCCGCCTGTTTGCATGGATGACAGCATACAGGTGGCATATCCAGCCCAAGCATATGCAGCAAGGAAGGTGTCCTACAAAATGAAAATATAAGTTTTAGTGTCCGTATTTTATAACGTCAGATGATTTTACTGTGAATAATCTTTTAATTATACTGATCTGCTGGGATTGAGCATTCACATCTCATTCACATGTAACATTCTGGAATCAGCTCAAATCTCAATTACGACAGAAATTAGAATTGTAAAAAAAAAAAAAAGAAATTAGAGTTGTTAGTAATGCTTCTGATTTCATGGCTATGAATATGATGACATTGTCCTGCAAACTTTGTGGAGATTTTCTTCAGAGGAAGTGGCTATACCTGTGCCTTCTCTCTCTCTCTCTCTCTTTTTTCTTTTTTTGGAGAGGTTTTTGCTATAGGGTGCGTGCACTTGCCAGAAAGACAGAGAGAGACAGAGAGACAGAAAGTGAGAAATCACCCCCCCAGGGGGGATGGCTACACCGCAATCCCTTCTCCTCCTTTCTCTTGGGATCTTGGGCACGCACACACACACGCCCGGAGTGAGTTTAAGCTGCCGGCTCTGGGACTTGAACCATGGTTGGCTACATGGGAGTCCAGCGACATAGCCATTACACTAACTGCTGGTCCCTGCCTTCTCTCTTTCTGTCACTGCCCCGCACATATGTGTGCACACATGCAAGGGCAAACACACACTAACATATTGATATCACTAACAGCAGAGGCTCTGTGGAAACGAACCATTTCTTGATAACCACCATTTCTAAACCAGCACAAAGTATTTACTATGTTTATAGTTCCTGTTGTTTTGGTTAGCATCTATTCACAGTTGTATGCACACATGTGTGTATATGCATAGGTATTTATGGGCAAGCAATTTGTTTTTAAGAATTATTTAATTTTATATATCATTATTAATATTATTTTGTAAATTTGCTGCAGGGCATATGTGCTCATCAGAGAGAGACAGAGAGAAAGGGAAAATAAAAAAGCAAGCTACCAGGTCTGGCGTTCGAACCCTGGTTGGCTATGTGAGAATCCAGTATCCCAACCACCATGCCACCTGCTGGACCAAGCAATTGTTTTTCGTAATGTGTTCATCACCTTTATATTGTTACTTCTACTTTTCAGACCAAAAATGTGATAAGGACTATGAAGATTCTTTTCCTTCTCAAAACTTCATGTATACCTTTGTTGCTTTATTTTTTTTAGAGAAAAATATATTAATAATTTTACTTGTTTATTTTGCTCATTATTTTAGCTCCTCAAACAAAATACAAGGGGATTTCAAAAAAGTTTGTGGAAAATGGAATTAAAATACGAGTTTATTTTGGTGCAAAATTTTGAAACCCATGCCCTTCATGCATGGTCCATGAACTATTGGAAGATGCCATGTGTAAGTCCCATGAGAGCAAGGTGCTGTATCCCCAGCACCTTGTACATGGCATGCTCTCAATAAATAGCTATTTTGAATGAATGGGTAGTTGGATTCTGTTCAAAAGGACCCAATGCCCTTTTTTTTCCTCATCTAAACTTCTTCTGACCCCACATGGTAGACAGAAACCCAGAGCGTCTGCAGATGTCATTGTTTTCACAGTGTAGCTGCTTTCTGAATTGCCTCGTGATAGAAGTCCTCTGGAGTCACAGACCTGAACCTTCCTAGGGACTCCAGCTGGAGCAGGCTCAGAGCCCAGGTAGCTCATCCATCCATTGAGCAGGTGAGGGAACTGAAGCCCCAGGAAAGAAAGTGACATGCCAGAGGTCACATTCAGGAACAGCAGCAAGGCCCGGAAGAATCATGCTCTCTCTCTATTAATAATTAAAGTATCAGTAGTTTTGTTCTCTGAGCAACCCCTTGTTCTTCTGCCATTGGAAACTATGAATGGAGTTGACTTTGGGAACGTAGAGGAGGTGGGAGGAAATTCATTCTGGGCCTTTGGACTTGGGCTACCTCAAAATCCACTGCCTTAGCTTATGCAGGGGACATGCTCACAGCCATCATGTGAGGGCTTGGAAAGCCTTTAGTGCAAGGAGGAGAGGCAACAGCCGTGAGTTTTTGCTTCAGGTACCAAAGCTGAAAAGATTATTACTGGGAGGTAGCAGGTGGCATAGTATAAGGTGCCAGGTGGTCGACTGTAGTTCGAGCACCAGACCTAATGGCTTGAAACTCACTGCGTGTGCACAAAATCCTAACAGGAGAATGGAGATGGGATTGCAGCATGGCCATCTCCCTGAGGGGTGCTTCCTCACTTTCTGTCTTTCTGTCTCTCCAGTGAGCAAACATGCCCTAAGAGAAAAAATTTCTCTAAAAAAAGAAGAGTATTTCTGAAGATGAGAGATGATTATTGTCCTCAAATGGGTGCATATTGGTAAACTGAAGAACTAGGCATAATATATTTGTGAAGTTTGAAAGAGAAAGTGATATTTGAATCTTGAAAAATGAGAATTAGTGGCTTCAGGAGGCAATGGTAACCTAAAAGCTGTCATTTGCCATGAGCTGGATACTGCTGAGAGTGTGTGACAAATATTCAAGCAAGCTGTATTAGTCTGTGTTATATTGCTAAATAGAAATACCTGAGACTGATGACTTATAAAGAATAGAGGTTTACTTGGCTCATGATTCCGGTGGCTCGGAAGTCCAAAGGTGTGGGGCTGGCGTGAGGCTACATTACAACATGGCTGACAGAAGCAGAGAGGAAGGTGGATACATGCAAACTCTTCCTCTGTTTGTCCGTCCCATTCCCCAACCAATTGGCTGGTGCCCTCCTTATAAGCCCCACCTCTCAAAGGTCTCACCAGCTCCCAAAACTATTAAAGTGGAGGGTCCAAGCTTCCAAAATACAAACCTCTGAGGGACTAACCATAATGCAAGCCATAGCACAATAAATCATCACAACAATATTAAGGGGCTAAGTTGACTATCATTCCCACATTACAGATGAGAAAACTGGTATACAGAGTGATTAAGAAACTGTCAGATTAAGACAGAGCTAGAGTTTGAACCCAGGTAGTTTGATTTTAGTCTGGGTTGTTAAGCACAGCCTAGGAAGAAGACAAAGACATTCCTGGCTAAGAAAAAGACTATGCAAAGACACAAAGGGCCTGGTGCACTTGGGAAACAGTGGGAAGTTCAATGTGGCAAGAGCATGGTGTGCTGTGAGTTGGGGGAAGTGAAGGAGAAGAGGGGATAAGGTTCAAAGTAAAAATAAGTAGGCTATGCTAAGAATTACGAGCTATCTTCATACCACTAGTTTGCACTTCGATTAAGTCATCTTCACTTTGTATCCATTGAAATACTTGTGGGGACTGGCCAATTGCATGGTGTTGAAGAAGGCTGGACCCTCCATGACTGACTGCATGGTTTGAGTCCTAGACCTGGCATCTTGAAAAACACGCTGCACATGTGTGTGTGTTTATCCAAAATACCAAGAGGAGAATGGAAGAGAAGGGATTGCCACATAGCCACTCCTCTGGAGGGTGATTTATCACTTTACCCCCCTCTCTTTCTCTCTTTCTCTCTCTCTCTCTCTCTTTTGTTATAGGGCGCATACTCTCACCAGACAGACAGAAACAGAGAGACAGAAAGCGAGAAATCACCCCCCAAGGGAGATGGCCACGCTGCAATTCCTTCTCCTCCATTCTCCTCTCGGGATCCTGGGCACACACGCACACGCACCCGCGTGAGTTTTAAGCCACCAGGTCCAGGATGTGAACCGCGGTCGACTACATGGGAGTCCAGCGACATAGCCATTACGCTAACTGCTGGTCCCCCCTCTCTCTTTCTCTCTGTCTCTCTCTGGTGCATGCAAAGGCCCTATAACAAAACTTTTAAAAACAGATTGTTGTAGTATAGTTGCTGTTAGGGCCTTTACATGAGATATGTTGTTTTGGAGAATTGCTATAACATAGTGTATCAATTAATAATGTACAGTATGATATACATATGCACTTAATTTAACTACTATCCCACTATGCTTATAATAATTATAAGATGCACATTAATTACCTATATTTTACAGTAGTTTATATTTGAGGTTACTTGATATTTTCTTTTTTTTTGGAGAGGTTTTTGCTATAAGGTGCATGCGCTCGCCAGACAGAGAGAGACATAGAGACAGAAAGCGAGAAATCACCCCCCAGGGGGGATGGTCACGCCGCAATCTCTTTTCCTCCATTCTCCTCTCGGGATCTTGGAAACGCACGCGCACGTGCCCGGCATGAGTTTTAAGCCACCGGGTCCAGGATGCGAACCACGGTCAACTACATGGGAGTCCAGGGACATAGCCATTACGCTAACTGCTGGTTCCAATACTTGATATTTTCTAAAACTATATTCTTACACAAATATATACACACAATGTATACACACCGCATGCTTTTATAAATGCCACAATATAAGTTTATTACAGATATCAATTATGGGGTAGGCATATACACTGTTATAACTACAAGAATCATCGTACAAATGTATGTATATTAGTTTTGTTTACCTTAAGTTGGTGAGAGAGCATTGCCCACTGATTCAGGCAGTATGACAGCTGCTGAAATGTAAAATGAGAAAAATAAATCAGAGATAAGCACAAATTCCTTAGTCAATAGAATTCTATTATGACATATTTAAAGCTCTAAAATGGCCCCATTTCTGAACCTTGAATTATCTTCTCACAGTGTGGCAGAGAATCTCAACACAGCTCCCAGGATGCCTTAAATCACGCCAGAGAATGGCAATGGTAAATTTCTGCTGCAGCCAAAAATCTGAACTTAAAACAGTTCTAAGTGAACATTATCCACATGATATGGTCAAGGTTCAGACAAAATAAAAATTCATGTTACCAAACAATAGCATACCTCTAGCTGCACAATATCCAAGCCGTCTGGAGGATCAGCTAAAGGTTGAGGAGCTCCTATTGTGAGAAATCATAAAAATCATCAGAGAAAAGAGATCATAGCATTGACTTCTAAATCTTTGCCCAAAAAATCATGGAGAGACCCCACTGAGACGAGAAATCACCAAGGAGCCTTACAGAGAAGGGCGGCGAGAAGGGAAGATGTGATGCAGAGCTGCTTTAAGGATTTACAAAAACAAAAACCAAACAAAACAGAAAAACTACACTTCCACCTGCCACTGAGATTTGTAACAAAATTAATTCAATACAACATGTTTTTTAACTCATTGAGGAGGGGAAGTAACCCAGGTAAATATCTTATTTGTGTTTTAATGGAATTTGTGAAACAAGAATATCAGGAAATGGTGTTAACAAAGTATGTGTGTAAGAATCAGCCTCGGGGGACCAGCAGTTGGCGTAAAGGCTATGTCGCTGGACTCCCATGTAGTCGATGGCAGTTAGAGTCCCAGACCCGGTGGCTTGAACTCATGCCGGGCACATCTGTGTGCATGCCCAAGATCCAGAGAGGAGAATGGAGGAGAAGGGATTGCGGCGTGGCCATCTCCCCTGGGGGGTGATCTCTTGCTTTCTGTCTCTTTGTCTCTCTCTGTCTTTCTGGTGAGAACATGTGCCAGATAGCAAAAACCTCTCCAAAAAAAAAAGAATCAGCCTTGGGAGATCAGCAGGTGGTGTAATGGTAGAGGCACTGGACTCCCACGTAGCCAACCGTGGTTTGAGTCCTGGACTGGTGGCTTGAAACTCATGCTGGCCACAAGTGTATGTGTGCCCAAAATCCTGGGAGGAGAATGGAAGGGAAGAATTACAGTGTGGCCATCCCCCTGGGAGTGATTTCTTGCTTTCTGCCTCTCTGTCTTTCTGTGTGTTTCTGGTGAGTGCACACCCCCCCACACCCTGTTGTAAAAATCTCTGAAAGGAAGGAAGGGAAAAGGAAAGGGGAGGAGAGTGAGAGGGGAGGGGGAAGAGAGGGCAGGGAAGGGAAGGAAAGGAAAAGAAAAATCAGCCTTGCAAGGTTTTTTGTTTGTTTGTTTTGGTTTGGTTTGTTTTTTTTTGAGAGGTTTTTGCTATTGGGCGTGTGCATTCGCCAGAAAGACAGAGAGAGAGAGAAAGCAAGAAATCACTCCCCAGAGGGATGGCCATGCCACAATCTCTTCTCCTCCATTCTCCTCTCATGATCCTGGGCACACACGCACACATGCCCGGCATGAGTTTAAGCCGCTGGGTCCAGGACTTGAACCGCGGTCGACTACATGGGAGTTCAGTGACATAGCTATAACGCTAACTGCTGGTCCCAACTTTGCAAGCCTTAATACACAGAGATCCCTGTCTCTGCTGCCTCAGACTCTCGAGCAGTGGGTCCTGGGGGAGGTCACCAGCGGCAGGCAGCTGGATCTGTTCACCTTTGTCTGACCTACATGTGTGCCTCTTCTGGTTTGCATGTGATGCAGTATTTGGAGGAACTGTTAATACTGCAGTTGAAAGCATCAGCTGAATAGGTCAGAACTAAGATGAAATAAGGTGGATAAATATGCAACCCTGAACTTATTAGAGTTTTTAAAATGTGAGACAGAGACTATATATAGCTCAGAGTAGTTAATATTTTTTTAAGAAAAAAGTAGAGAGAATGATACTTTGGTCCTTGTAATCTCTTTGAGCCAAGAGAACGTGAAGGCAATCTTGTGCTGTATTAGAATAATCATGTCCGAACTTTAGAAGGTAATAGTCAGACTTGAAGTGATAGACTATGAAGTGGAGTTAAAGTAACTGAGCATGTGAGGGGTCTTCAGAATGTTCATGACAAATGTCTATTATGAAAAACTGCCTGGATGTCACATTTTATTTTTCTGCCAAAATAAACTCATTAGTTCATTTTCCCAAACACTATTGGAAGTTCCCTCCTAGTTTTCTCTGGGAAGACAAACATTAGGAAGTTTATGTTAGCTGCCTTCAGCTATTTTGAGGACTGTCATAAGAAAGTTGACTCTGTATTTTTAAAGGATAGAACTAGGGCTAATGGTTAGAAGTTACATGTGATCAGATTTAAGCTTAACATAGAGAAGTTTTTGATGATTAGAATCACTCAGTAATGCAGAGTAATGCAAATAATTCCTGCAAACAAAGCCTATGAGGGGTTACCGAGAGGTTCTGTGTTTTGTTTTTGTTTTTAAGTTTATTTTATTAATATTCATGATAGAGAGCACATGTATGGACAAAAGAGAGAGAGAAGCATCATGCCACAGACCCCTTCCTCCAGCTCCCCGGGATCTTGACATGCATGCACACAATTGCCTGGGGTGTTTCAGGTCAAGCAGACTGGGGATCTGAACCCACAGTTGGCTGCATGGTTTTCAGCCCTGTGGTTCAGTACGGTTACTGAGTATGCCACTAAGGCTGAGCTGAGAGTTCTGTGTTAATGCAAAGGTAAAAGTCATAACAACCCTTGGGGCCAGCAGGTCGCATGGTGGTTAAGACACTGGATTCCCACATGGCCAACTGTGGCTTGAGTACTGGACCTGACAGCTTGAAAATCACACTGGGCACGTGTGCATGTGTGCTCAAAACCCCACAATGAGAAGGGATTGCAGTATGTCCAACCCCCCTAGGGGGTACGTTCTCACCTTCCCTCTCTCTGTCTCTCTCTGGTGAGCACACACGCCCTATGGCAAATACCAAAATGGTTAAGACACTGGATTCCCACATGGCCAACTGTGGCTTGAGTACTGGACCTGACAGCTTGAAAATCACACTGGGCACGTGTGCATGTGTGCTCAAAACCCCACAATGAGAAGGGATTGCAGTATGTCCAACCCCCCTAGGGGGTACGTTCTCACCTTCCCTCTCTCTGTCTCTCTCTGGTGAGCACACACGCCCTATGGCAAAAAAAAAAAAAAAAAAAAAAAGCAGTCCCACCCTCAAGGAACATAGAATCAAACAGGAAAAAGAGAGAGGAGGATGTAACTATATAAAGAGATAAAAGGTGATAACAAATTTCCAAAAGTGTAATATAAACAGGATTCTGTTGGAGCCCAGAAGAGGCAGAAACTGACTGTCTCAGACTGGTAGTGAGCTGGAGGGGGGTCCCTGAAAGTCATCAGTAGACTCTGAAAGACCTCCAGCAGGGAAGCCATAGAAGTGATCCCTGCACTCTGTGAGAGGTGAAACCAAATGGAAGCCAGATGACCCCCATGGTTCCTTGCAATGCCCGGGTTTTGTGATTCCACTGTATTACGTGACATAATTAGCGTAATGTTAGAAATAGATTTTCTCTTTGAATATATGTCCAAAGATAGCTGTTCTGCTACCGTCCTGTTCCCTAGAGCCTAAGGAGAGCTACTGAGGGGTGAAGGACATGGATCCAGTACAGACTCTCCTCCCCCTGGCTCCCTGCAAACACACTTGTTTTCAGAAGTTGCTGAAGGGTCCCCCCGTGCCCAGTCAGCACCTCGGATAGCGCCCTCAGCCCAGGTAGATGGACATCATGACTCCTGGAGCCCCAGGGAAAGGCTTTGGAAAGATCCCTTCCTCTAGAGCGAACCCCTCCCCTGTCCCCTCCAGCCACCCATCAGTTCTAGTCTTTGGAACTGTAAGCTCAGTTTACTGCCTCTGTTTTCCTGTCTTTGGAATCCCAGGAGGACAAATGGCTAAGGTATGGGATCTTCCCCCAACTCAAATTGGGGCCATGTCTCCCCCTTCACAGTGTCAGAAGCGCATATTCTGGACACCGCTGAGATAGGAGTAGCTTAAAGATAGTCCTGCAAGACCAAGTGTCTGGTAAAGGGCTGAGACATCCAGCTCTGTCCACCCCCTCCGAAAGGTGAGAAACAAATGTGAAGCCTCTTTTAGCAAGAGGGTGGAAATGGGAAGATGGGAGAATGACGTCTGACTCCCTCCAGAGCTGCCCTGAGGGCCCGTGGTAGGTGTCACTCTTCCTCCGGGCTCTGGCCAGGTGGGGGCTGGTGAGGAGGTCTCCTTACCTGAGGTGAGAATCTGCAGCACACAGAAGCAGTAGACGGCCAAGATGGACGGAAACTGGGGAAGAAGACACCTCATCGTCAGAGCCTGCTTTCTCTTTGCTGGCCCCAGATGTGTGCTGCTGGGACAGAGACTGAGCATTTCCAAAGTGCACGGAGAGCCGACCAGCCCTCCTACATCTGCCCAGCCCGGTGGAGAAGGTGCCTTTATTTGCAGCCTGCCCCGGAGCCCACTGACTGGCCACCAATCAGCTGTGTGCAGAAGGACCTCAGCTTTCTCATAAATGTCACGCCGGGCCCTTATTTGTAGAATAATATCTTCCTGGTGAAGGCATTGTGGATAGTCATCTTTTTCAACTCAGCAATAAAAATAAAAAGTGGAGCGTCGTAATTGTTATTTTATAACAGTTCAAGAAGCATTTCTGACTCAAGAAAGGCTTTTTCTCTCTTTTTTTTTTAAATCAAGGAACTTGACATAAATCTATAAACACTTGCATGATGAAGTCTTGTTTCCTAAGAAGCAGCTTATTTTCCACCATTAACAAAGGATGTTTTCTAGTCTTTGGTGTATCTGAGAGGAACAGCATTTGAAGTCCTGGATACATTATGAGAAACTGAAAGTTCATTAAGAGTTCTGTTTCATTGCATTTTTAAAATCATGGTTGGAAAATGGCCTCTTTGAGGCTTTTCCAAATCTGTTTCCATGAACAAGATAAATGTTCAAATTGTCAATATTCACAAAACCATGACAATGCTATTTAATAATAATAGAAATAAAATAACTCAAGCCTACTAAGTTCCTATGTATTTCAGGCATCTTACAAAGGTAATTTTATCATTCTCACCAAAGTAAACCATGAAGAATGTGTTATGATCCTAATGTTATGTATGATGAAACCACGGCTAAGAGAGATTAAGGAGCTTGCCCAAGGTCACCCGGTTAACACAGTTGAGAGCAAGAATTTGGACCCCAGGGTGACTCAGTCCAGCCATGTTTATAGGGGTATGGGATTTTAGTTGATAAGTTATTTTTTTTTTCCTAAAAGGAAACTCACTGAGTTTGATATGGGATAGAAAGAAGGAGCAAGAATGAAATCTTCCATTTATTCCACCCCCCTGGCAAAAAAAAAGGTAACTATATAGCTTATATGAAATAAATATCTTTAGTTTTTTTTTCATTATTTACATCTTTCATTTTTGCTCCTCTGGAGATTAGGAGGTAATTGACAGATACTGAATGCTTATAGTGTGCCTTACCTATGTCATATTACGTCATTTTTAAAATGAATAAACTTATAGAGAATAATTTGGTCTCTGAATTGCTCAGAATCATGAGCTACTTTCTCCTCCTTCCTTGAGGTAGCAAGAAATAGGCATTTCTATTTACTATAGTAGTTATCACTTTTGTTCAAAGAGAATAACCCAAGGTCTTTAAATACCAGGCAGAGATTAAGCCATTTATATTAAGCTCACTATCTAACAGCAAGTCTTTTCTGAATGGAAAGAAAAAAAGAGAATGAATGTTCTTTGAGCATGAACTACTTACCTGTGTGGTATTAATCACAATTACAGACACTTAGACACTAACACACAGGTAACAGCCAAGGTTTAGAGCATTTCTATTAAGGGTCAGTCAGCAAGGTTTTTTGTTTTGTTTTGTTTTGTTTGCTTGTTTGTTTTGGAGAAGTTTTGTTATAGGCACTTGCGCTCACCAAAAAGACAGAGAGAGACAGAAAGTGAGAAATCACCCCCCTGGGGGATGGCCACCCTGCAATCCCTTCTTCTCCATTCTCCTCTCGGGATCCTGGGCACACACGCACACGCGCCCAGTGTGAGTTTAAGCCACCACACCCAGAACTCGAACCGTGATCAACTGCTTGGGAGTCAGTGACATAGCCATTACGCCAACTGCTGGTCCAAAGTCAGCAAGTTTTGACATCTGGTCTGTGTCTGCCAATGAACTGGTTCTATGTCTGTACTATAACACACACGTACTTTTCCAAATATGCCTTTGTGATAACTCTGAGTTGAATCAAATTTATTGTGTCCATTTGTTAATGGTGAAGCCCCAGATCCCAACATGACTGTATTTGGAGTTAGAGCCTTTAAGGAAGCACTAAAGGTCAGATGAGGTCATAAGGGTGAGGCCCTAATCCACTAGGACTGGTAGCCTTCTGAGAAGAGATCTCTCTCGCCATGCATGCAGAGAAATGCCACGTGAAGGTCATCTATCTACAAGCCAAAAAGAGAAGCCTTAAGAAAAAGCAACCTTGCTGGGACCTCGATCTTACACTTGCAACCTCCAGAGCTATGAGAAAGTCAATTCTGTTGTCTAAACTCCCTAGTCTGGTATTTCGTTACCATAGTCCAAGCAGACAAATGCAAACATACAGAGATTATTTTTTTAAATTTATTTTCAGCCAGTCCAATGCAAAATAAATAAATAGGTGAAAATAAATGTTGGAAGTGTTCATTGTTTTCAAATTATATGATTATTTATCTAGATTATCTACCAGAAAATCTGGAGGAACCAACTGATAAATGATTAGAATTAATGAAAATGTACCAAAATAGCTAGATAGAAAGAAAACTATTTTCAAGATTAACTTTCTTAGACATGGGCAAAAATAAAATTTAAAATATAATATAAAGTGTAAATTGCTGCTTTAAAATAAATTATCAAATATAGAGGACTAAATAGAAGAATACGTGTGTAATATATTTACAAAGAAAACTGCAGGCAGCCCTGGTGGCACAGGTGGTACGGCACCACCGTGTGATACTAGAGCCACGTTGGAGGCCAGGTTCGGATCCTGGTTAACCTGAACATGCCAATTGTGCCTGTGGGCACATGATCCTGGTTGGCTGGAAGGCTGGGGGTACTGGGCGTATCTCAACATGATGAAACCCTTCAAGGATACCTACCTCTCTCCCTTCTACTTATTTCTCTTTTCATGAAAAAATAAAACTGTAAAACTTTACTGACAAATACAGAGAAATATGTAAATTAATGACAAGGCATAATATTGTCAACAAAATTCAGTGTTTTTAAAGGTTCAATTAATGGTGGGACCAGCAGTTTGCCTAATGGTTATGTCACTGGACTCCCATGTAGTCGACCATGGTTCGAGTCCCGGACCCAGTGGCTTAAACTCACGCCGGGCGCATGTGCATGCATGCCCAAGATCCCGAGAGGAGAATGATGAAGAAGGGATTGTGGCGTGGCCATCCTCCATGGGGGGTAATTTCTCACTTTCTTTCTCTCTGTCTCTCTCTGTCTTTCTAGTGAGCACACATACCCTACAGCGAAAACCTCTCCAAAACAAAATGTTCAATTAATGGCAAATTAATCTATAAAGTCAATATAATCCAATTAAAATGTAAAGTGACTATATATGTGTGTGTGTGTGTGTGTGTGTGTATGTAGTTTTAGTTTTTTTGCCATAGTGCACGTGCACTTACCAGAAAGAGAGGGAAAGTGGGAAATCGTTCCTTGGGGGATGGCCACACTATTTTCCCTTCTCTATTCTCCTCTCAGAATTTTGGGCACACCTGTTCATGTGCCTAGCATGATTTTTTTTTTTTGGGGGGGGAGAGGTTTTTGCTATAGGGTGCGTGTGCTCAGAGAGAGACAGAGACAGAAAGCAAGAAATCACCCCCTGAGGGGATAACCACACCGCAAACCCTTCTCTCCATTCTCCTCTTGGGATTTTGGGCGTGCATGCACATATACCTGGTGTGAGTTTAAGCTGCCGGGTCCAGGACTCGAACTACAGTCAATTATGTGGGAGTCCAGCAACGTAACCACTACCTGAACCATGGTCAGCCTATAGGAGTCCAGTGCCTTAATCACCACACCACCTGTTTGTCCTTCATGAAATATTAAAAGTGATTCTGAAATTAATTTGGAGGAGAAAAAAGTTAAAGCATATCTCACAAATTTTTGGAGGAAACCTCGACATTTCACCAATGTCAAAATGTACCGTAAGGCAGTAGTAATTGTGGTGTTTTGGAGAGTCTTGAAGCAGATCAGCTTAATATAGAGTGAAGGCAGCATTTTAAATCAGTGAAAAACGGTGAGCTATTCAGTAAGTGGGATTTGGGATAATTGGCCTTTCACTTGGCAAACAAAATTTTTCTATTTTATTGTATAAATTTAAATCAATTTTGGAAGATTAATGAACTACACCTAATATACACACTGCATTGTAAACATTTTAAATTTTTCTGTATCTTATGCTGTTTTCACACACATACACATGAGCACACACACAAAATCCCTCGTGGCTGGAGAGAGCCTACCCTTCCAGGGACATTGCTCAGTCAGGAGCATGCCCTTCACATCAAGACTACGCAGTCCAGGTCCAAACCTCCCCTATCTGGCCCTTCATCCCAGGGGTCTGTATTCCTGTGCGCTCATCATCCAGGGCCACGTGCCAGGCTACAGGAGCCATCATCGTAGCCCAAAGTCCACATAGAAGATTCTTCCAAGTAGCCAGGCCTGAGCTGTTCAGCCTACCCTGCCTTGCCTTTCTCTTGTAAATGTCAACAAAGACTATGGCCTATGGGGCCAGCAGTGGCATAGTGGTTAAGGGGCTAGACTCTTACATGGCTGACAGTGGTTCGAGTCCCAGACCCCAGTGACTTGAAACTCACAGCAGGTGTATGAGTGTATGTGCTCAAGATCCTGAGAGGAAAATGGAGGAGAAGGGATTGAAGTGTGTGGCCATCCCCTGGGTGTGTGTGGGGGAAGAGGTGATTTCTCACTTTTTCTCTCCCTGTCTCTCTGTGTTTCTGGCAAGCACACATACCCTATAGCAAAAATCTCTAAAATTAAAAAAAAAAAAAAGACTACAGCTTAAAGCTTCCAGTGCTCCTGTTTTCTACCTCCTGACCGCACTGTTGTCTTTACCATGGGTCCTGCTTGGCATGCCATGCTGTACCTCCTGTCTCTAGGACCCATGTGTGTGACAAACTTTGTCTTTTACTGGGCCTCTCCGGTCCCCTCTAGTGGCTGACATGGGAGAAGCACATCTCACTGACATAAAAGAATACAATACAGGCACATATTCAGGGTCGTTACACAAAGTCCTGTATTAGTCAGAGAGAGAGAAAAAATTTGACCAGAAAATTCCTCTGAACCAAAATTCAAAATAGGGAAGCCATTAAGAAAAAAAAAAGATAAATGTTATCCTATATTTTTAAGTTCTATATGAAAGAAAGATACTATAACCAGTATTAGCAAAGAAAATACATAATTGGATAATATTTGCAAAAACTATAGGAGTACTTAAAATATGAAACAGAGAGAGAAGGAGAGAGGAAGGAAGACAGGCAAGAAGAAATAAAAGAAAGAAATAACACAGGGCAGCCCTATAGCCTAGTGGTTAAGGGAGCTGGATCCCACATGGCTGACTACGGTTTGAATCCCAGCCCTGTGGGTTTGAAAAACAAACTAGGCACATGTGTCTGTGTACCCAAAATCCCAACAGGATGGAGAAGTGTTAAAAAAGGGATTGCATCACAACTACACTCCACTGGGAGTGCTTTCTCACTCTTTCTCTCTCTCTCTCTCTCTCTCTATCTATCT